TGTTGATAGGAACATAAACATCAGAGATATCAAGCCTCTGATCGGTGATAAAGTCAATCAGGAACTAAACAATCTGGGAAGTATAAAGTTTCAGATCACAGTGAAAATGTCACTCGATAAGCAAGTGAATGGGGCTGGGGTCACTGAGTACGTTCAGCCTTACTTCCAAGGAGGTAAACAGGAGGTCGTGACTCATACAGAGACCATAGACGCATCAATCGATTCCAGTTTTCAGCAGATAGGAGAATACGTAGAACGCTACACACACATGGGGTCCGGGTGGGCTGTAGATAAAATCGATAATGTCTATCTAGACATAGCTAACTACGTGCCGTTCAGAGGTGGGTCATACCTGGACTTGCCCCTCTACTATAGGAAAAAACATGCCATGGTCAACGTCAAGAAAAGAGGAGACGATTGCCTGAGGGTAGCTATCAGGTCAGCCTTGTTTCCAGCTGACACTAATTCAGACAGGCTTTCTAGCTATCCCCAAGACGATGGGCTCAACTGGGATGGTATAGATGAATCAACCCCCATATCCCAGATCACTAAAGTAGAAAAACAGAATAATCTAACTTATAATATGTTAGGGCACGAAGGCAACAAAACGATCGTGCTCAGGATCATCCCAGTGTTGGGTGAGGAGAGTCGCCGCGTTATCAATATATTCGTGATCCAATGAGGTGAAAATTATCACTACACGTGGATAAAACATCTCAGTCGGTTGTTGCATGACCAGTCGAAACACGTTGGGAAAAAACACTTTTGTGTGCGATGCCTGTGCGGTTTCAGCCGAGCTGATTTATGAGAATCCCACCGTGAGGACTGCCAAGGTGTGCGGCAGACGGCCATACGAGTCGACATGCCTAAGGAAGGTGACAATATCCTAAAATTCGACAACCACAAGAACCAAATGTCTGTGTCTTATGTCATCTACGCCGACTTTGAAGCCTTGGTCAAACCTATTGAGGCTGTTGAGGGTACCCCAACCACACAGAAAACACAAGAGCATGAGGCCTGTGGGTTTGGATACGTGGTCGTCCTATGTGATGGGGAAATGAAAGCTCCCGTAGTGTATAGGGGTCCCGACACGGCTGAAAAGTTTCTAAAGTGTTTGCAGGAGGAAGAAAAAATTATTAGGAATGCACTGTATACAGTCGCTCCAATGCGTATGACCCAAGCCGACCGGCTAGCTCACGCATGTAGCAGTAACGGTCACGTGTGTGACTCACCACTTAACGCGGTGATTCGGTGAGAGATCACCGCCACGTCACCGGTAAGTATAGAGGCGCCGCTAACAGCGAGTGTAACCTCAAGCTAAGAATCAGGCCTAAGACAATAAACATCTCCGTGGTCTTCCACAACTTGAGAGGGTACAACTCTCACTTATTCATGCAGGCCATCGCGAAAGTCAATGGCAACCTGACGTGCATCACCAACAGCATGGAGAGATACATCTCCTTCAGCTTAAACGTCCTGAGGTTCATTGACTCGGTTCAGTTCCTCCTGTCGTCCCTCAACAGTCTGGTCAAGGCCAACGACACCTTCCCCATCACCGATTGATATACCGACGCCGAGACTCGACCCCTGCTGATGAGGAAGGGTGTGTACCCCTATGAGTACATGGATGGCTGGGCCAAGTTCACCGAGACCCAACTACCCCCAATCAGAGAATTTTACAGCAATCTGACCGACTCGACAATATCCCAAGACGATTACTTGCATGCGATTAACGTATGGAATATACTGGGCTGTAAGAATCTGGGTGACTATCACGACCTGTACTTGAGGACAGATGTACTGCTGTTAGCCGACGTTTAGGCGGACATGTTTCAAGCAGTATAAACTCAACCCGGCATGGTATTACACCAGTCCAGGTCTGTCGTGGGATGCCTTGCTGAAACAGACCGGAGTTAAGTTTGAATTGCTAACCGATTACGACATGCACCTATTCATTGATAAAGGCTTGCCAGGCGGGATTTCCATGGCAACCAAATGATACACGAAAGCAAATAATCAATACGTGAAGGGCTACGACCCGAGCAAGCCTACCAATCATATTCTCTACCTAGACGCAAAGAACCTGTACGGCTGGGCCATGAGCCAATATCTACCCACAGGGGGATTCGAATTGGCATCGCATGAGGTTGATGTTATGAGCATCGCACCAGATTCGGACAAAAGTTATATCCTCGAGGTGGACTTGGAATACCCCAAGGCATTACACACATCACACGCTGCCCCCTGGACCCCGAACGTATGAGGGTTAACCCAGACTGGATGTTTGAGTACCAACATAACTTATTAGGTGGGCGGGTGGCAGACGTTGAAAAACTCGTTCCCAACATCAATAAGACCAAGTCCATCGTTCACTATCGCAACCTACAGCTGTTCCTGTCGTTCGGTATGAGGCTGACCAAAATACACAGGGTGCTCGTGTTCACCCAGAGCCCCTGGATGGACCCTTACATCAGAATGAACACATACCTCCGAAAGCTTGCCACCAGTGACTTTGAGAAAAACCTCTACAAGCTCATGAACAACTCGGTGTTTGGAAAGACTATGGAGAACCTGAGGAAACGTGTGACCGTGAAGCTGGTTCGGTCGAATGAGGAAGACAAGCTCAGGAGACTGATAGCCAGCCCAGCATTCAACCGTAGCAAAATATTCACCGACGACCTGGTTGCCCTACACATGAAGAAAAGCCACATCAAATTCAACCGACTTTTACTACAACGAGCTGAAGAAACAGTACGACGACAGGTGTGAAGTGCTGTACACTGACACGGATTCCCTGTTGATGGAGATTCAAACCGAGGACGTGTACGAGGACATGAAGAAACGCCTCGATTTGTATGACACCAGTGACTACCCCAAGGACCATGCCATACACAGCACGGTAAATAAAAAGGTCCTAGGTAAGATGAAGGACGAGTGTGCTGGCACGCCCATAGCCGAGTACATAGGTTTGAGGCCTAAGATGTACTCCATCCTGAAGGCCGACAATGGTGAGATCCGGAAGGCGAAGGGTGTTAAGAAGTACGTGGTGAAACAACACATCAAACACGCCAGATTCAAGGAAGCCCTGTTCAAGACCCGTACCTTCAGGCATAAAATGAACACGCTTAGAAGTGATGGGCATAGGATATACGGACTGACTATAAACAAGACGTCCCTGTCGCCGATGGACACTAAACGTTGGATAGCTGTTGATGGGATCAACACGTACGCGTACGGGCATGAGAAAATTGAACCAAGAACATAGGTGTATATATCAGGGTGACATGTCACGGAACCAGAGAAAGTTTGAGGCTATTTACTACAGCCCGCGTGGGTACTGGAAAGGAGCTAGCGCTGTACATAAGCTGGCTAAAATGGCGCGAGTACCCCCGGAGGAGGCCAAAGCGTGGCTTGAAAAACAAGCCCTGTGGCAGATCTATTTACCGGCACCACGCTACGTGCCTAGAAGGAAGTTCGGTATTAACATACCCAATAGCGTTCACCAGGCCGACCTCCTATTCCTACCCCACGATAAGAGGTACAAGTATGCCTTAACCGTCGTGGATGTGGCCAGTCGCTACAAGGAAGCCGAACCCTTGACCACGAAAGACTCGGCCCAGGTAGCCCGCGGATTCGAACGCATATACAAACGCAGTCCGCTGACGTGGCCAACAGAGCTGCAAGTTGACCCCGGGCGGGAGTTCATGGGTGCCGTGTCACACCTGCTGGATAAACACGATACCAAGGTCAGGCGTGGCATGGCCGGAGCCCATCGCAGCCAAGCCATAGTTGAGAGATTCAATAGGACTTTGGCTGAGCGCTTATTCGGGCATCAGTATGCGAGAGAGATGGCCAACCCGGGAAACGATCGACTGAATGGGTAGCGCGGCTACCTCAGGTGGTGTCTGCCATCAACCATGAAATCACCCGGCTCACCGGCAAGAAACCGGCCGACGCTATCAAACTAAAATCAATAGTGGCAGAGTCGGCTGCACCATTGCGTGGGAAGGAGAAACAGATACCAGATAGGGCCCTAGTGAGGTATCTATACCAGCCGGGGAACACGAGGGTGATAGCCGTAAGCGAGCCACCGATCCAATATGGTCAGTCAAAACTTACAACATAGATAAAGTGGACATCAAAGCCGACGAGCCGAACTTGTACTACTTGAGAGATGGGCCAGGGAGAGGGTTTGTTAGAGAGGAATTATTGATCGTACCGTACGGCACAATGTTACCTCCTGCCAACGTGGCATAGCACAGCTGGCACAGTAGTGCCACGTGTTAACACGTAGCGGCACAGTACTGGTGCGGGAAGTTAACTGGGGGCTCAAAAGTAGTAGATATACTGGTGCGCAGATCTAAGGGCCTGACAAAAGCTTTATTTGTGAAATAAGGCTTTGCAGAGGCTTTTGTTGGACTTGATCCGTCAAAGGTCACTATCATTAATGTCAGAGCATACATTCAAAGTCTGAAATGTCTGCTTCACTAAATCCGGAAGTTGTTCAAGTGTAGATTTGAAACACTTCTTACTGACAATAAAACCCAGATAATTAGGAAAACCAAAGATTCTTCGAACTTTATTGTATTTCGGAATATTCGACTCACCATATGCACAGGTACACGGATACATTCTATGTCCGCTTCAAACACTTTCACCACATCTCTTCACTGACATCAAATGTGGCGTATGTGGATTTACAACTACAATAATTTCATCACAACTGTTCATGTGGGGATTTAAAACACTTACATTAGAGTGTAGAAACATGGCAATAAATTCATGATTTGAAACAACTTTTGATGAATTTGTGGATTCAGATATTTGTTGTGACATTTCCCAGATATGTATGAAATGTGTGACAAACTGGTCAACTACTGCAGAATAATAATCATAACAATAGTCATGTGTGAATGCAAAATGTTTGTAACATCCAGTCAAGTAGAAAAGCAACACATTTAGCTGACCTCGTTACATTCTTGTACACAACAAACAGCACATAGACAGAGAACTTATATTTCCACCACAATCACTACAATTACATTTGACAGTTGAAATGATTATGTCACACTTACAAGTTTACACAATGTCATGTTTATTTTATTGTCTAATTCAAGGCGTCATAAATAAGTGACTTCTTGGCGTCAGTCATGGTGATATCTGCCCCACTTATCACCCTCATGTTGACTGTGTAGAAATCTGGCGACCCAACACTAAACATGGGAAGAAGAGACTCGCGCGCCACTTAACATCCAATTTGGCTAAAACAACCTCTCTGTTGAGGTCAATGAAGGCGAGTCTTCCCATCGCCAAGTCCAGCACAACACCATAGTGGAAGGTTGCCCGTGTGCCGGGTGTGTTAGACATTTTTTTGTTATAACACTCCCCATGCTCCCCCTGGTGATACATAATGGTACAGAGACTCCCCCGGTGTGTGGGGCAACTCCCTACACTGACACACCAGGAGCGGCGCTGCAGATAAACATACGCCCCACTGTCCACCTGGCTCTCCTCCCCTACACCCATTGAAAGGATAGGCCACCCCAAGCACCCTTCGCGCAACACAAGCACCCGGGAGACCGTCTCCCAGTATTGGTGTGTCTGGGGTCCAAGGGGAACAGTAGAGGGGGGATGGAGGAAGGAGGATGGGCCTGGAGGCACATGTACCCCGATATATCTGTAACCTGCCGGTGAAGCTGCCTTGTGTGGTGGGCTTCGAGTTGATGAGCTCACCGCCTGTAGTTACGTGGCACACGTCTCTGTTCGCTCGAGCAGCGTCCAGTTGTAGATTAGGACCTGGAAATTATAATTTTGTTTACTGTTAAAAACAATTCCAGACTTAAGACAACAAATTAGACATTTTATTGTCAACCCCGTTTTAATGTTTACAAAACAGCGCATTGAATATCGGCTGCCATTTTCGTCTGTGTAAATTTTGTCTCATATAGAAATCATAACGCTGTGAAAATATTTGTATGGGTATTCTAAATGTTTTCATACTTTCTTTATATTGATTGACAAAAAAAATATACACTCCATAAAACATTTTGTTAGAAATTATTTGTTGAGCTGGTTAGCTGTCAGAAATAGACACTTGCCGCCTGAAAACACATATGTATAAACTTCATATCATGATAAACCTATCATTGTTAGCATTCTAAACGTTTCATTCTCATTCGATTTACTAAACAATAAGACCGACAGAGCAGTTGTCTGACGATATTTTTACATCTGAGTATTCAACAGACACAGTGTCAACAGGTAACTTCTACGTCCGCTTCAGTCACTGACCACAGTTTGAGCACACTCGCTGTCGCGTTTTGTGTATCGACTCTGACATGTATTCTCACTTTTTTGGTTTTTATTACACAGTTCTCAAATTTGTTATTTTCACATATCATTATATTTTTCGTTACAGATTCACCAAAAGATAAAACATGAAACCATGCTTATGTGTTATCATTCATCTTTGACAATGTCATATGAATCCTCTTTCCTTCAAAGAAAGTGTCGGAAATGCGGTCAAATAAATCTTAATACACGTTTACTCATTTTAGTAAATATTCAATTAAACACAAAAAACCCCAATTTTTTCGACCCTTGAATAATGATCAAGCACTGTTACTCTGCAGTAAACTATATTATGAGCGGAATAATACATCTCAGTTGATGTAATATGAGGACATATTTTGTTAAATATGTTTACTATGTATATATAACATTCATCAGTTTGAGTCATCATTTTTTCAACTTACACATTTCAATTGAAATTAAGCAAACTGATATTCGCAATTGATAATTATATGATGAACAATAAACAATTATAAGATGAGGTGCGAATTTGTTTAATTTGTTAAAGATGATTAAAAGAAATTTCTGTGTCAGGCCATTGGTTTAGACGTTGTACAAGCGAAACCTTTTTAAAGTAAATAGAGCCAGTTAAGTTATAAATCGTGCGGAGAACACCGTGGGCGAGATATACCCTCCGGGTGCTTGTAACATGAACCTCCAGAGATGTCGGTGATCAAAATCACGACTTGTGTCTGTTTCACGTAGTTCTCGTTTACTACCAACTGACGCGATACCTCCGTTTATTGTTTTTAATAAAACTCAATAAGAAGAGGATGGAATGTCACTGAATGTATGGTTGATTGGTTGTTTCTTGGTTCACTCAGCAATATTCCGGCTATATTGTGGAGGTCTGTAAATAATTGAATCTGGACCAGGCAATCCGGTGATCTACACCATGAGCATCGATCTACACGATTGGGATGCGATGACATGCGCCAACCAATCAGGGAGCATGATCACCCGATCCCTTTAATCTACAGATGTTTTCTAGTGCGATAAAATCGCCCTTAAAAGTGAAGTTTATGGGAAGGAATGGCCTCTGACTTATCAACGTTGATGATCCAACCTTGTTGATGAAGCAGTCTTTAAACGAAGTGAAGTTGTCTCTTGAGGATTGCTGGGTCTGTTTGAGGCCTGGATATGTTCGCATCCAAGTAAAACTAGCCGATGGGTCTGATAGCAAGGGTGAATAACCACATAGCTGTGGAAATACCGAACAAGAGCACTGAAAATTGTTGAATTTATAGTGGTGACACATGGTGGACCTCCACTTCTTTGACGTATTCTTTCTCAGAAATTGGGAGTTCGAGTGCGAATGTTCTACAATCTCCAAGAGACTTTGTGAAAGAAGTTCTTGAAGATTAAATTGAAGAAGAAAACTTGAAGATTACCGGCTGACAGTTCTAGTTTTTGATGAGGTCATACCTGTGATACAGCCGTTCAGAAGAACTCCTTATCATCTGGAGAATGGAGATTAAACTTGAAGAATAGTAGATTCTTGATATTATCGAGAAAGTGCCAGGACCAAGTGAATGTGTTTCTTCGATCTTGATAGTCCCAAAGCCATGATGTAAGGACATTCATTCGTGTTTGTGTTGACATGAGAAGTGCAAATGAAGCTGTACAATGTGTTAGAAACCAAATGCCAATGATTGAGGATGTACTTCAAGATCTTAACAATAATTCTGTATTCAGTGAGCCAGATGTGAAATGTTCTTACCACCAGATTGCACTCTCTCCAGAATCGAGGCATATAACTACGTTCAGTACGCACAAAGGTCTTTACAGACACAAACGTCCGATGTTCGGGATTTGCTGCATTCAAGATGCTCCAGGTGTTGTACATGGGGCTACTTTCAAGAACACGACGTGGGGATGGCAGAAGTTCTCAAAGTATTGATGAAGAAAGGATTGACCTTGAATGCGGGGAAATGTCAATTCCAGATAGGAAAGCTGCAATTTCTAGGACACATGGCGTCTGAGGAGGGAGTCAGTCCTGCTGAAGCTGAAGTGAAAGCGGTTCTTGAGACGCCAAACACGCCAAAGAAGTACGCAGCTTCCGTTTCCTTGGACTTGAACGGAAGATTCTTCGAAAATCTAGCAACGATTTCAGAACCCTTGCGTGGATTAACAAAACAAACAGTGAAGTATCAGTGGGGGCAAGAGCAAAAAATAATCGGTCGACAAGCTGAAACAGTATTCAGCCAGTGCCGATGTCTTGGGGTATTTCGACAAAGATTCAATACCTCAAGTGATAGCGGATGCCAATACATTCGGAATTGGAGAGTTCCCGTACAAGTACAGAATGGGGTACATCGAGTAATCTCATATGCAAGCAAACGTCTGTCCAATGTTGAGAAACCATATTATCAGACGGAAAAAGAAACACTAGCTCTTTGACATATGAACATTTCCACAAGTATCTCTGCGGTAGTCCCTTTGAACTCATCACATATCATCGACCTCTACAGTTCATAAATGCTCCCAGATCGAAACCATGTGCACGCATTGAGTTATGGGTAGTCAAGATGCAAGGCTATGACTATTGATTATGACAACATTGCAGATTGTTTGTCCAGACTGTTTGAAAGTACAGACATGAGTTCACCTGCATCACAGGAAGCAGAACAGTATATACGATTTGTTGCAACAGGGTCTTTACCTGTAGCACTGACGACATGAGGCATCATACATGTAATGTTTCCAAGATCGAAGAACAACACAAGAGACTAGATCCCAGTCAATTTTTATTTCGTATTCACATATATTCAGGGTAACATCGAAGTCTAAATTTCGGTCCCCTCAAGGGCAAACGATCGCAATTCTCACAGTAGTAACAAAACAGACTTCCACGTTTGACCTGTACGCGCTGGCACTGTTAGTGCTACTGACTATAGAGCACGTGCAACATTATGCAGCATCAGAGTACACCATGACTTGGAAAATTCGCAAGACCACGCACCCACATTTCCCGCACACTGCAAGCATCCTTTCACAAGGGAGCTAACTCCCATGAATCAAACTGTCGACCGCTAAGAAACTTGCCGTTACAGTACAGGCATCTGACCGTGATGAAGAATTGATTGATTTGAGAAGTTGTTTGTTGTTAGAAAGGTGGTTTATGGTTGGACATAGCAAATATTTACCTGTGAGACATGACCTATCTGCATCTGGAAAAAGTTGTACTGATAGGTATCAGAATTGTGATTCCATGTGATCTCGGGGATAAAGTGTTACATTTAGCACACGAGAGGCACCCTGGGATAATCAAGATGAAACAACGATCCAAGCTATGGTGACCTGAAGTCGATGTGGGATGTAGAGAAGTACTGCAAATAGGGGCTTAGATGCCAGGTAGTCTCCTCAGAAAACTCGCCTGCACATGTGTATAGGATGCCGTTAGCATCATCACCATGGTAACATATTGCTGCAGATTTGATGGGCCCACTACCAACTGGTGAACATGTTTTAGTTGTAGTAGATTACTACAGTCAACGACTTGACGTCATCCGAAGTACAATGTCAGAAACCATCATAGACTGATTATCAGGCATGTTTTTGACTCCACTTACTCTGCAGACTGATGTGTGAGTGAGAAGTGTAAGGACTATCTTGAACAAAACAGAATTAAGCACAAGCCAGTGGAGAAGTGGAATGACAGAACAGAACAATTAAATTTGTTCAAGTAGAAAAGGAGAGGTTTTTTTTAATTTGTGAATAAGTAAACACTTGATTCATGTCGTGTTTGGGTTTAATTTATTTTCTCACACTGAAGATGAAAAGGTAATAATATTAAAGTGGAAAGGTATTTCTCTTTGTAATAAAAAGCAAGGTTTCATTATTATAAAAATGTAATTCTATATTCCATTCCTTTTAATTTGAAGGGTTAAAGGGATGTAGTGTTTGTACTATTATTACATAGCGAACCGATCCGCATTCCGCATTTGAATTCGCATTTAGATAAACCTGCGTCAATGAGTGAAATACCTGTATCCGGTCACTCAATATACTGACAGAAGTGGGGCAACTATGGAAGTGCCATGTTGTCTCTTGGTCGTCTTTGAAGGTGTGCCTGCTTAAATGCAGTCGAGAATAAAACTTAAATGTGCATTCTTCAGAACTGATCCGCGGTGCATTGAACTCTCCAGTTCATAAGGTCCAAGACTGAAGCATATCTTAGCACTTTCTGGATGTAGTCTGAGGTTCACTTGCATCTTTGAATCTCGCCCACAGAGGTAACTTGCTTAATGTGTACATTTGAAAAGGGTGGTGGATGGTCTCCTTCAGAGCACTGCTTGTCTTCTTATTGTCATTTATGGCTCTGCTGATGCTCTTCAGGTATGCTTGGTGAGTATGATGTATGATGTGCAGCCACGCTCTTCCCATGTTGCTCTATCCGTCCTTTAGCAGCATCAGCCGCCACAACTACATCTCCAACGTCGTGCTCAGCATGATCGCCAAGTCTGCATTTGGCACAGATCAAAATGATGCAGTTTTTGTCAAAATATGCAAGAGGAAAACTAATGTTCAGTTTACAAACTGATTCGGCATACTTACTTCCCGGTATTGTATCCGTGAAGGTTTCAACAAGATGTATTCTGGTAGCTTTATCCTCGGGAACACTTCCGTCTGCGAGGCTGAACTTCCTCTGACATGTAGTGCATAATCTGACACCACGAGCTGCAGATGTCACACACGTCTTACACACAGTGTGTTCACATGGCAGTAGATAGGGGGCGGGGCCTCTCAGGGTAAACTGCTGTTGACAGACAGAACACGTGGGGAAGGCGTCCATTCTGAAACAGATAATATCGGGGTCTCTATTCCTTCAGTTGGACTTCACAAGAATGGCATATTGATTCCAGGAAAGTACATGCGTTGAACTGAAATACTTGATCAAAATGCGTATGAATTACACGTACAGAGTCATGTTATATCCGGTTGATGACACATGTAAGAAACCAATGAAATATTTCCTAATCACAGCCAACAACAAGATACAGTTTAGTTCAGAAATGACGCATGTTCTAACATTTTAGTTTTTGAATACTTCCGATAGTTGTCAAACGATTACTTTGATTGCCCTTCTTAGACGAGAATACCAATATACAGTAAATATTTTTTTTGATATATGGAAAAAAGCATCCTAAAAGTCACCTTCCGTTATTAAAATTTCACAAAAGTTTGTAAAATCGCAATCAAAACGTGAAAAACGCCCTCACCTTCCGAATTTCCGCCTATTACAGAAACACCCGACAGTTAATGAGCAGAGGCGGGTATCACGTGACATGACGTCAAATGTGCCTATCGCCGATGGCTTCCTCTTATACTATATTTGACAACTTGACAGTGACCATGGATTCTGAAGCAATAAAAGATGTTCCCCATGTCATTTTTGAACTGGATGTTAGACCGTACCAATACGAGTCGATTTTACATCATGCAAGAGAAACTTCTAGTGAAGCTGAAGAAGAAGAATCCATCGAAATGGAGGCACCACTCGATTCAAATCCATTCAATTCAATTCATTTATTCGGTATTTTGGCCATGTGGCCCAATGTACAATTAATTGTGACGACATAGCCGTAACACTTGACAGGAAGAACATATGTACATCTTCATGATAAGCAAAGCACATGAATCATGAAAATTGCAACAGAAGTTATGGTTTGGATATATTTTGCATTTGAGAACAGATAGACTTTTGTAATTGATACGATGTAACTATTTTGTTCGGAGATCCGCATACCTTTCATATACAAGTAATACATGGTACTCATCTTCGAGAACTCCTAGAGTACAACTTGTTCATACAGGAATGTTTTCATTAGTACATTTTTTGTCTCAATAGATTTACTTTAAACGAATGCAATGCAATACGCTATTTACAGAATGCACGAATCAAGGGCTTATCACTTGGTGCTGTTCAGGCTGTAATAATGATTTGGAAGTCGAGTAATTCTTTAAAAATGTGGATGTACAAAGTGAGTCATGCCAAACCTGGGAATATATATCACGGACTCTTTGTGTAAAAGTATTGATAAACATTTGTATGTTTCCTGCATCTTGCACTATCCAAACATATGATCATGAAAAAACAGTTGTGAAAAGTAAGTGACGGACATCTGAAACCCATGTATGTTTACAAGTTTCATCAAATTTTTTTGAGGAATAATTAACACTAGTGAGGATGGGTGTGTGATTCCATTCTTAATAGTTTTAACCAAAACTTTATAACACGTATTTAGTAGACACGTGCACCGCGTATCTACCACACTTACCCAATGTTGCCTGTTTGATGCTTACTTGCCAACATTTCGAAATAATTTGAAGCATGTAGTTTGTACCTTTTCTATGCATTCATAATACCTAGGCCCCACATTTGTGAACCATATAGTAATACAGGCATGATTTTACTATCAAAAAGTTCACAAGCAACTTACGAAATAATCTATACATGGAGCAAATTACTTTAGGGAGATAGTTTGACATGCTTTTGACCACTTCAATGATGATGAGAACAGAACACCAAGGTAGCTATAATAGGTTACAGTTTGAACATCTTGACCACTTGATGTCAACATCGGAAGACTCGGGAAACACAGACTGGTACGTTCGTCATATAAACAACTGTCAAATAATCGGTTTTCCTTTAACTTCAACCGTAAATTATGAATTAGACATCTGCTGTCTACCAACAGGCACTATTCCATTCACCTGTACCCCCCCACACCTGCTATCTACCAGCAGACACTATTCACTTGCCTGTATCACCCACACCTGCTGTCTACCAGCAGACACCACTTCACATCCCATTCAATGATATGGAACCTATCATAAGGTGCTAAATCAGAGATATCATGCAAAAGAAGTGGGACACCCAAGTAGACATTAATAAATTATATGCAATAAAACCAAATATTGGTTACACCAACTTGGGCTGTCAGTCCAGATTTGAGGTCATATTACGAGGATGTCGTATTGGCCACAGCAGATATACAAATGAATATTTATAAAAAGGTGAGGATCCTCCATTTTGTATCCCTTGTGGTGAGACAATCACAGTCAAGCACGTTTTGTTGCATTGTGTAGAATTTTCTCTCACAAGGGATATGTATTACAAACTTTTACATTTAAAGGATATTTTTAACACAATCAATTCTCATTTAATTGCAGAGTTTTTAAAAGAGATAGAATTGTTCAGTAGTTTTTGAATGGATGTGTTTTAGCTGAGGTTGAAAAATTAATATTATTATATTGTTATTAAATTGGGTTGAAGTATCGTAAAAAGATTGTCCCTTGATGATTGCATACTAGTATTATAGAACATTGCAGACAACCGGAATTTTATTGCTTCAATTGTATTGTTTTAATTTATGGCTAGCATTGTTTATAACTACCAGTGGCTGAAGTGATGGTTTAAATCCTGCTGGTGATTCATGCAGGAAGCCGAAGTACTGACAGTCCCCATGATCCCTAGTAAGGTGGCCTAGCTTTGGTTGTTGGTGGTCCATAGCCCGTGTTTTAATGTTAATATAATGCCATATGGGGTTGCATTTTTAGAATTGGAAATGATTAGTTTTTAGACTTAAATTCTGTGATACGTTGCTAATGCTTTACTGTCCTTCGTGACTGATATTTATCATATATACTAACTTTGTTCTCGTGACTATATACGTCTGAAATATTGCCGGTGTGACGTTAACTTTTAACTTACTCACTCAGTCACTCTACCAGCAGACGATATCCCATTCACCTGTATCCTCAACACCTGCTATCTACAACAGACACTATTCACTTATCCAGTATCACCAAAGCCTACTATCTGCCAGCAGACACTATTCACTTCACCTGTATTCCCATACCAGCTATCTACCAGCCAACGCTATTCCATTCACCTTTATCCCCCACACCTGCTATCTACCAACGAACACTATTCACCTAACACGTATCTCCCACATCTGTTATCTTCCAGTAAACACTATTCACTTCTTCCGTATCTCCCGTACCTGCTGTCTGCCAACAGGCACTTTTCACTTCACGTGTATCACCCAAACCTGCTACTTTCCAGGAGACACTATTCCCTTAACGTGTATCAGCCCCACCTGCTTTCTACCAACAGACTCACGTCTGTTATCTTCCAGAAGGCAAAATTCACTTAACCAGTAACTCCAGCAACTTGGGGTATCTAGCTGCAGAGTAAACTACTCAAACTTCCCTTTCTCATACACGTCGTCACACCTGCCAATACATTCTTTTTCCATCAATGGAATCTAAGACTTATATCTATAGACTTACCACAACCACTATACACTATTTACTCCACCCGTATCTCCCACCACCTATGCTGTTGACCAGTGTGCAGTATTCACTCCACCCTTATCCATCACACATTATGTTATCAACCAGCAGGGACTATTTAGTCCAACCGTATCTCTCACCCCAAGTGCTGTCGAACAGTAGAGACTATTTACTCCACCCGTATGTTCAACCCCTTGTGCTGTCGAACAGGAGATACTATTTACTCTACCCGTATCTCTCATCCCTCGTGCTGTCGAACAGAAGATACTATTTACTCTACCCGTATCTCTCACCCCTTATGCTGTCCACCAGTAGAGACTATTTACTCCACCTGTATCTCCAACCCCTTGTGTTGCCGACCAGTAGAGACTATTTACCCCACCTGTATCTCTCACCCCTTATGCTGTCCACCAGTAGAGACTATTTACTCCAGCTGCATATCCAACCCCCTGTGTTGCCGAACAGTAGAGACCATTTACTCCACCCGTATCTCTCACCCCTTGTGCTGTTCACCAGCAGAGACTATTTACTCCACCCGCATCTCCAACCGCTTGTTCTGTCGAACAGTAGAGACTATTTACCACACCTGTATCTCTCACCCCTTATGCTGTCCAACAGTAGAGACTATTTACTCCAGCTGCATATCCAACCCCCTGTGTTGCCGAACAGTAGAGACCATTTACTCCACCCGTATCTCTCACCTCTTGTGCTGTTCCCCAGTAGAGACTATTTACTCCACCTGTATCTCTCACCCCTTGTGCTGTCGACCAGTAGAGACTATTTACTCCGCCCGCATCTCCAACCCCTTGTTCTGTAGAACAGTAGAGATTATTTACTCCACCTGTATCTCCAACCCCTTGTGCTGTCCACCAGTAGAGACTATTTGCTCCACCCGTATCTCTCACCCCTTGTGCTGTCCGCCAGGAGAGACTATTTACTCAACCTGTATCTCTCACCCCTTGTGCTGTCCGCCAGGAGAGACTATTTGCTCCACCCGTATCTCTCACCCCTTGTGCTGTCCGCCAGGAGAGACTATTTACTCAACCTGTATCTCCAACCCCTTGTACTGTCGAGCAGTAGAGACTATTTCCTCCACCCGTATCTCCAACCCCCTGTGTTGTCCACCAGTAGAGACTATTTACTCAACCTGTATCTCCCACCCCTTGTGCTGTCGACCAGTAGAGACTATTTACTCCACCCGTATCTCTCACCCCTTGTGCTGTCGACAAGTAGAGACGTATTACTACACATTTTCTCTCTCCCGTAGTGCTGTCGACCAGTATACACTGTTTACTCCACCCGCATCTCACATATATTATGTTATCTACCCGTATTTACCAGATACCATAAACGCTGTTTCCTTGACCTAAATACCCTGTTGCGCAATCGCCTATTGTTAAGGTCATCGTGACATATCTCTTGCATTGTTAACCCTCTAAAAATAGTCTGTCCTACCTATCGCGTTGCTGCGTTCACGCCCCCTTGAAAGCATTCATAGCCACGATATTGAATATGGCAATGTCGTTTCAAAGGTTTCAGATTATTCCATGTAAAGTACGTCCTAGTCAACACCCTGTTTAACAGACACAAAGTCAGACAGATCTGTTTTTGCTTTTTAAAGGTTAAATAACACGGATCGTGCACAGCGCACTACGAGGGTGGTAGGTTTATTACCGGGAAGTAGACATTTGTGTGGTTGTAACAACAAATAAGGGCGGCACACATGGATTTTGAGGCAGACCGCGTTTGCAGAACAATGACCATAATCTTTTATGATCAGCATGTGGGTAACACTGAATTGAAAGTATGGCCTGCATATTATATACCCAATATTTTTAGTTGGCGTTCTCTTATATTAATCAGTGTCAATCAATGTCCGTAAATGATGGTCAAAACAAACTAAGTGAGTTCAACTTGATTCATTTCAATCATGTAGTGAATCAGTATGGTTTTACGCCCCTTTTAGCAATATTCCAGCAACATCACGGCGGGGGACACCGGAAATTCAATCATGTAAGTGAAAACGGGGTGAATTCATGTCACCTATTTCGTTAGGTAGTTCAGAATTTAGTATAACCCAGAAAGTTAATCCCTTAAAACAACATACACAGTCAACCCCCAACATCAAAGGCTTTTTACTGTAATAACAAATGTCTACTTCCCGGTAAGATACCACTACGAGGAATGGCGTCTGGAGTAGGACTGATAATGATAGGATTACCTGCTTGATTTGACGCTCGACTGTGTAAGCTTAAATTGTGGCCTTAGTAGATAATTTATGAGCATCATTTTCACGTACATATTTCGCTGATTCCAATTGCAACAACATGTATATCATTATCAAGACATACTTACTGAGAGTTGTTGAGACAGCACAGGGCACACCTATCTCGAGGTTCGGCTTCCTGGTTGTACATGTCACTTCCGGGTCAGATCTTTATGCGCGAGTTTTATCGGAATGGAATTGCAACATGTTGCATAAGGCACTGACATGGCCGCCGTACAAACTGGATTACTTGATGACACTGCACGTCTCATTGTGTGGTACGAAAATCCTGTACAATTTTTATTGTAACCAAAACTCTCTACCGAGGTATGCATTCTGTAACTATGACGCAGACTGAGAGAATTGCAGCGGTCGAGACCAACCTCACAGAATTACCTCCCTTCGATCGAAATCTTTCGGTCAGTGATTTGCCGACAGAGCATACTTATTCGACTTTTAGGGCATGAGTAGTAATCCAACTGACAGGAGACACATAACTTGGGTGAGATCAACGGTATTTCATGATACATCCCAACAATGAACACTGAAAGAGGATGAGGACGTGTCATGTCACCAGTAGTCATTACTGACTAAATCTTTAACTTTTTGTACTGGCGATTATTCACTTCATTCTGAAACAGGACTCAGCCTAAAGTATGTTATAGAACTTCGACTTTACTGGGAAGTATATTCCAAAACAAAGCATATGTTTCATTATAAACCTTACCAATTCACCACAAACTGACATCACTATTTTCATATGATGTGAACCCGTTGTCTTCAGCAGCCCTTGCTTGTCGTATGAAGCGACCAACTCGATCAGGTGGTCGGATTCGCTGACTTGGTTGGCGCTAGTTAAGGTATCCTAGTGGCGTACATCGATGATCATGATCTCAAGATACTGATAGCCTGGTCCAACCTCGAGTATTGGTCATAAACTAAACTCACTCACTCTCTTTCTCTCTCTCTCTCTCTCTCTCTCCCTCAACACAGACACACACACACACACACAACAAGCAAACCATATACTGTGAGATGTCCTGACATGACCATCAGTTTGTCCACCCGTGGTCTTTAGGAACCCATTCTTCTCATTTTCATATGGTTGATTAATATCGGCTTTCAACCAAAAAGAGCGAAAGAAACCCAAATCACGAGTTTCGCCTTTGAAATGACATGTGAATAAAGTTTAACATCGTTTTAAGCAATGTAGCTTAAAACGATGTTAAGGCTTTATTCGCACATGTCATGTTTTTCTCATCCCAAATATCCCAATGAGAAATAATACTGAAAATAATTGCATCGATATTCAGAACCCTGTAGACTAAAACACCAAGCTGCATCAGTGGATTATTTGGCAGAAATATCAATCAAGCTTTTTTAAGCGTGTGTGTGACTAGAACCTAAACGCGAGCTACATAAGGAAAAGCAAAGCAAAGTTAAGCAGTAGAGACTTGTATGTTTTCTGTCTTACTAATTGTTCTTCCCTCTCGCTCCCCATCCCCCCCCCCACACACACACACACACACACACGCACACACACACACACACACACGCACACACACACATACAACACATACACACACACACTTTGCGCGCACCTTGCGCACACGAAATTTAACACCGTCGTGAAATATAGAAAGGTGTTCATGTTTCAGTTTCCTCGCTGCTGTGGACATTTATGCAAAAATTAAAAAACTCAGCTTCAAAAGCTTGAGAAGATGGAATAAAGGCCACTTTATTTAAGGTGTTTAATAGCAACTTTGGTGGCCGTCAGGGTCGCTAACTCTCTTAACTTCCATCCGATTTCTCCCTGAAGAACCCTGTGGAGTGTTTAACACAAGATAATCTATGATCTATGAGAAGGACAATTCAAAATTGTAGATAGTATTCTTAGCAAATGATATTGTCTGTACATTACAGGATAATAAGTTAGTAGAGTGTTCACAAATGGATGAAATAAGTTATCCGCTGTGAGAGTAATATGTGACAAACTGTCTCTAAAAGGGGCAAATTTAGGTTGTTCATGCAGCTGGTATGTCATCCAAAGGACACATAGTAAATCATATATAGTTCTTACTTTTAATGAATACTCGAGTCTGCGTTTCCAGTAACATGGTTAAGTTTGCTGATGGTAATGAACCCATGAAGATCCGAGTTAGAATTTATCCTCAGTAACCCATGCTTGTCGTAAGAGGCGGCTAACGGGATCGGGTGGTCAGGCTCGCTGACTGGGTTGACACATGTCATCGGTTCCCAATTGCGTAGATCGATGTTCATGTTATTGATCCCTGGATTGTCCGTTTCAGACTCGATTATTTACAGACCGCCGGCATATAGCTGGAATATTGCTGAGTGCGGCGTAAAAACTAAACTCACTCACTCACTGATGTTAATGAATAGACGCAGATACTATCTGGCGCTGTTGACACTCGGATACACAGCTAACAATTGCATGATAGGCCAGGGGACCCCTTCCTGAATGTAATACAAGCGATGACCTAATATACACTCGGATACATGGACCCTTAAGCTTATGTCAGGTAAAGTCAACAATAATGATTCCATTCATGATGTAATATTGTGAGGGTGCCATACTGTAATGATGTGTTATGAGATCCATTACTCATATTGTGATGATTCACAACGTTATTGGAGTTCTAATCGACATGGTATAACCATGACTACACGAAGCCTTACATGTATATCGTTTTAAGTCAAGTGTGCTCAAAAGTCTCGGTCATGTCTCAGTGGGTTGATCCGTGAGACCTCCGATTCTCATAGTCATTCATTTGTACATCAGTACAACCAGAAATTATTGCGAAATTAAAGATTGTAATTGTTGTTTTTTTCACTCATTACTCATGTATTAAATGTGAATATTAGCAGAACATAACTCCAGATTCAAAGATAGGTGAACAGTTAGTATTTTGTCAAGCCACCTTCGGCAGCAATGCAGGCTTCAATGCGGCAGGGCATGCTACTGATCAAAGAAGTTAGAAAGTCGTGGTCCATGCTGTCCCAATATCGGACCACCTCTTCTTTCATTTCAGCAATATTTGTCAGATTTTTCTTATTGACACTTTCCTTCATAAGTACCCAAACATTTTCTATTGGATTTAGGTCAGGTCTATAGCTTGGCCAATCTAATAATGTCATATTTTGGGTCCGAAAACAGGCCTGTGATTGTTTTGAACGATGTTTTGGGTCGTTGTCCTGCTGGAAAATCAAAAAATGTCCATAGAACACGTGAGCAGATGGAAGTAAATGTCCATCGAGAATATCTGTGTATCGCTCACTGTTAATATTCCCTTCAAATACACAGAGGGGCGTTGCCCCTAACACAGATATGCCATCCCACACGTGAAATTTCGGACTGTACTTTGGGCGCTGATACAAAGGTTTTCAGTTTGTTTGGTCCAGAATTTCAGTGTATTAGGAAACAGCCACACAGAACTTTTATCTGAGAAAATCACATTGTCCCAGTTAAAATTTCTATGTTGTAAGCACCAGTTCAACCTTCGCTCCTTTTGTTCAGGTTTCATGATCGGTGATGGAATTCCTCGACTTTTCTGCCAACCCATTGCATGCAGCTCAGTTCTAATTGTCTCCTTACAGAGAGCTACAGTTCCTCTATCAATCATATCCAGCCGTGAGTTTTCTCAACTCCTTCGCTTGTTTTTAGAAACAAGAATACCAAGCCGCCTCCTGTTACCGACAGTCAATTTTCTGTGCCTACCAGCGCCTCCCTGGTGCTCAATGCCATATCCATTTGCAATATTTTTCAAAACACGATAAACAGTGGACAAAGGGATGCCTGTTCTACTTGAAATCACTTTAGCTGATCCGGTGTCCTTGTTATAATACTCCAAAATCATCTTCCTCTTCTCTAAATCACCCATACTGAGGATCACTCTCTTGAAAATGTCGTCTGCTAGCAAGTAAACAAAGGGGCTTTCTCTCCAACACCCGCTGCTAACTCTTCCCACACCTGGTGCTAAACTAATGAAATGTAGTACTAGGATTAACGGAGTTGTCTCTCTGGTGAATGAAACCAAGAACTTGCTGGCTGGTCAAGGTTGTTTATACTAGAAATGCCATCTGCGATTAAACATATGCTCTTACACGTACTACACACCAGCTTGTCCAACACCTGCTGCTATCTGCGATGTACTACACCTGCTTGTCCTACACCTGGTGCTATCTGCTACGTACTACACCAGCTTGTCCTACACCTGGTGCTATCTGCGATGTACTACACCAGCTTGTCCCACACCTGGTGCTATCTGCGTATGTACTACACACCTGCTTGTCCCACACCTGGTGCTATTCTGCGATGTACTACACCAGCTTGTCCCTACACCTGGTGCTATCTGGTGCTATCTGCGATGTACTACACCAGCTTGTCCTACACCTGGTGCTATCTGCGATGTACTACACCGCACCCTGCTTGTCCCACACCCAGCTTGTCCTACACCTGATGCTATCTGCGATGTACTACACCGACTTCTCCAACACCTGCTGCTCTCTGCTACGTACTACACCAGCTTGTCCTACACCTGGTGCTATCTGCGATGTACTACACCTGCTTGTCCTACACCTGGTGCTATCTGCGATGTACTACACCAGCTTGTCCCCTACACCTGCTCACGTACGTACACCAGCTTGTCCTACACCTGGTGCTATCTGCGATGTACTACACCTGCTTGTCCTACACCTGGTGTTATCTGCGATGTACTACACCTGCTTGTCCTACACCTGGTGCTATCTGCGATGTACTACACCAGCTTGTCCTACACCTGGTGCTATCTGCTATGTACTACACCAGCTTGTCCTACACCTGGTGCTATCTGCGATGTACTACACCAGCTTGTCCTACACCTGGTGTTATCTGCGATGTACTACACCAGCTTGTCCTACACCTGGTGCTATCTGCTATGTACCACATCAGCTTGTCCTACACCTGCTTGTCCTACACCTGGTGTTATCTGCGATGTACTACACCTGCTTGTCCTACACCTGCTGCTATCTGCGATGTACTACACCTGCTTGTCCTACACCTGGTGTTATCTGCGATGTACTACACCTGCTTGTCCTACACCTGCTGCTCTCTGCTACGTACTACACCTGCTTGTCCTACACCTGCTGCTATCTGCGATGTACTACACCTGCTTGTCCTACACCTGGTGTTATCTGCGATGTACTACACCGACTTCTCCAACACCTGCTGCCATCTGCTTTGTTTACTATATATCTAACACAATTTATACACCGATTGCTTGTGCTGTACTACCAATGGTGTCTTCTCGTGCATACCGTGCACTCATCCCGTGTCTCCCAAAACTTGAACTATCTACAATCACTTTTATTTACCCAGCCCCTCTCTCCGACATTTTGTGATATCCACCCAACCCCCCAACCCTGCACTGTTCACCAGTACACGCCATTTACTACACCTTTACATCCATTTAATTCACCCCAACCATTTCTCATAATCCTTCTGATATCAATCATTTAAGATAATCAAATCCACCCGTATCTCCCACGCTTGCTATCTGGCACTAAACACTTGTCTTATCACCCGAAACTTCCAATATACACTAGTACTCCACCCGCATATCCCAGACACTTTGTGCTGTCACCCAACTCGCAGCTCCGACCTACATACCTTACTGCACAGTCGCCGGGTGTTTAGGTCACCGTGACATGTCTCCAGCATTGTGAACACGGGACTTCCCGGTACAACCAGTTGAGTCTGATTGTGTTTTGTTTGTTGGTTGGTTGTTTAACTCCGCTCTTAGCAATACTTTAGCCATATGGCGACGGTCTGTAAATAACCCAATCTCCACCAGACAAATTAGTGATCAACATCATGAGCATCGCAATTGAGATACAATCTACGCAATTGGGATACGATGGTATGTGTCAACGAAGTCGTCCGATCCGATTAGTCGCCTCTGACAAGATGCTGAATATTTTCACAAGTTGTCTTATGGTGACCGGAAAGCGTTTTCTTATTCAATGAGCAGGCGTCACAAAGCTAAAATGAATTTTTTAAATATTTTTCTTATATTTTATTTTCCAGCAACAAGGAAAAGCTGTTTGGTTATGACAAGTTCTTTTTTTAGAAGCTAATTTGTAATTTTCTGGAAACAAAAATATGCTACTTTGCACTCGTGTAACTGGGCATGTTTTTGAATGATAATTGTATCTGCCGCCACACGTTGCACAATTTGCTGTGCAGAGACGCATATGACACACAGACACACACGTACACAAGCACACTCAGCCGTACGCACGTATGTATGAATGTATGTGTGTATGCATTTATAATACTTTTACGTTGATGTTTGAAAACTTCTTTGCTTGACAATGATGTTTCTCTGTTGGGTCGTAACTGAATCTCTGTGGGATGCCAGTGTTTGCCTGGTCCATACTGAACTGTAACACCACGGCAATTTTCCAATTTTGATGGGGGAAAAATTGTGACATTTTGCCGCGAGCTAGCAGGAATTTGTTCTGACTTCGTGGGGATTGATTGTTTACCAGTAACAGGTGGTAATAAAGTACCATTCGCCCTCATTGGAACAACTGTTGAACCATTTTGAATAGCAAAGGTATAAGATTGAAAATTCATGACAGCCTCTTGACGTATCAAGAAATCTAAGCCTAAAATCAGGGGAGACTCAAAATTTCCAACAACTTGAAAACATTGTGCTGTTTGAAAATCACCAATAGTGACGGTGAAAAGATACAACATGTGCAGTGTTTGCAATACTTTAATTTGCCAGTTGGCCATCGGGGCCTGCTGCCGCTTGAAGGCTTTAAAATCTACAGGCCATGAATGAAATCTGCAGGCCCATTTTGTGAAGGTCAAACCAATAGAAACAAAATAGACTACACTGTACACAGTTTTACACTGTTTCTACAAAATCAATTAGCGAAGCCTATGGCGCAGAGAAAAGTTTCTATTTGTGTCTGTGTTGAAATACCTGGAAGTGAAACTATCGTGACGTGGTGGATCAGGGAGGATTCCCGAATTATAATAAAGAAAACAAGGGAAAGATTCCAGTTGAAAATGACAGATAATTTACTGAAGGCCGTAAGGGCCTGCAAATATTTGAAACTGCCGGCCCGATACAATAACAACCGGGGCTGGGGCCCCCGGGCCGGCGATTATTTCGAACGCTGAACACGTGAAGTACATTTCATCTCTCCCTCGTCGTGTTGGGGTTGGAATATATGTACAGCGGATCAACCAGCCAGCTCTCTCTCATTCCCTCACCCACATCTTACTGACCAGCTAAATATACAGCTTTTATTCGTATATAAATTGTAAATAAACATTAGCACATTTCTGTAATTTGACTGAAATATATTTGAACCAGAAGTACGTTTTTGTCTCAGTGTGTCTGGGTACTTTTATCTCGGACTGAGAGAATTGCGACTGTCGAGGTAACCCTCACAGAGTTACCTCCCTTCGACTGCACGCTTTCTCGTCAACTGTGATGTGAGTGAGTGCGTGAGTTTAGTTTTACGTCGCCTGTAGCAACATTCAAGCAACATGACGGCTAGGAACGCGAGAAATGGGTTTCACACATTGTACCCACATGAGGAATCGAACCCTGATCCTCGGCTTGACGAGCGAACGTTTTAACCAGTAGGAGAGCCCGCCGCTCCCCTTTGAGGTGAATCCTGAGTGAGTTACCGACAGGGCAGATAACTCGAATGTTAGAGCATATTCGGTGAATTAAACCACGTAACAGAAACATAAAGCTTGGGTGATACCAGCGATATTTCACCAGAGACATTCCAACAATGAAACTGCTTCACAAGGCTTTGAAGAGGATGAGGTTACAGTCATTACTGACTTTGTGTGCTGGCGATTATGCGTTCCACCCTGAGGCAAGACTAAGCCCAAATTATGTCCTAGAATTTCTACTTTACTGAAAAGGTGTATTCGAAACCAAAATATATGTTTCGTTATTATCCTTACCAATTTATTACAAACTGACATCACTATTTTTGTATTCTTTGAACCCGTGAATATCCGGGTTAGAATTGGTTTTCAGTCACCCATGCTTGCTGTAAGAGGCGACCAACTCGATCGGGAGGTCAGGCTCGCTGAATCGGTTAACACTCTTCATCGTATCCCAATAGCGTACATCCATGTCCATGACGTTGATCACTGGATTGTCTGGTCCAGACTCGAATATTAACAGACTGCCGCCATAAAGCTTAAATATTGTTGAACGTGGTCTTAAACAAGGCTGACGGCAACCTCATCTTGTTTTGGTTTGATTCGTCGCTACTTCGAATGGCCAACCACCATTTCAGCAAGTTTTGACCTCTCGGATACGTCGAACTACCTCTGCAGCATCCGGAGACACAACAGCACGTCTCGGGCATCGTAACTACTGCGCATTTGAAATCGACAGTGCAACAAACTTTGAACGCCATCATTAATCCGGAAGTACACTTAGGACTGTAGTGATTGGCGCCATCTATAGGCGAAGCGGTAAAAGGAGATAACAGAGGAATGTTCCCCATTGCATCGACATTCTGAACCCTGTACATTAAAACACCTAGCTGCATCAGGTAATAACAGAAAATTCAAATGCGTGTGACAGGAATCTAAATGAGTGCAACAATGGAATCTAAATGAGGCAAAACTATGCATTTAAAACTGTTTATAGGTTTTCTGTGTTACCAATCTTCCATCAGCTTTGAATTTTCACACTGACGTAAAATAATGAAGGATGCTCATGTTTCAAATTTCCTCGCAGGTGTGGAAATTTATGCCTCGATGTGATAGAAACGCAACAACTCAGCTTAAGAAGTTAGAATGGCAGCCACTATATAAAAACCGTATTTTATAGCAGCGTTGGTGCTCAAGAAATATACAAAAACACACACAGAAAAATAATTCTCCATTTTTAAACGCTAAATTATAAGTGAACTTAATGCAATGGAGTATTAGACGTTGTTCCAACACATGCACCCTTATGCCATGTAAAGTAAATAATAAGGATTCGATTCGTGATTCAATATTGTTGGGTGCCATGATGCAATGATGTTTCATGATAATGAGATGTCGCCCCCATTACCCGCATATTAGAATGATTCACAACGTACAATGTTTCGATACTGGAGTTCTAATCGACCTGGTATAACATGAATACATGAAGCCTTACATGCATGTCATTTCTAGTGAAGTGTACTCCAAAATACTGCCAGTCTCGGTCATGTCTCAGAGGGTTCATCCGTGAGACTTTCACCATCAACTGATCACCAACATCCATCTGCATCAGTAGATTCATCCCTGAGATCTTTGCACCCAGCTGCAGCAAGCCATGTACATCACGTGCATTGGAGTAGGGAAGACATGCTTCTTAAATGATGTTATTTTTTTTCTCG